ATATATATATATATATATATATATATACATATATATATATATAAATAAATATAAATAAATATATATATATATAAATATATAAAAATATATATATATATAAAAATATATATATATAAAAAAATATATATATAATATATATATATATAAATGAATATAAATAAATAAATAAATAAATAAATATATATATATATATATATATATATATATATATATATATATATATATATATAAGGGTAAATATGACTGACTTCTCATTTTTAGAAGAACTAATATTAAAAGAAAGAGGAGATAAATGCTAATTAAATGTCTCACTTGTGTCCCAATCGGTTCTTTAATTCAGTAATTAGCACTAACAGAGATGGGAAGTAACAAAGTACAAATACTTCGTTACAAATATTTCGTTACTGTACTTAAGTAGATTTTTCTGGTATCAATACTCCACTACTTATCTTTCTGACAACTTTTTTTTTATTTTTTTTTTACACAAATATCAATACTTTCTACTAATACTTTTTTTAATCGTGTTTGTTACTTTTGTTTTAATATGTTTTGTGACACGATCTTTACTATTTATTATACATTATTAACATGTATTTGACTTTATCCATTCAATAAAATATACAAAATACTCAGAAAATAAAGGAACAAAACAAAAAACAATTGGTGAAATCATATGAGCTGCAAGAGTGTGCCGTTTGCAGAAATAAAGCAACTTTTGCATAATGCGAAGCAAAATATTTGTAGTCAAATACATTTGTTTTGTTTATTTTATCAAAGAAAAAGCCTAAAATATGTTTTGGACAAAATGAAGCATCAAATTTAAGACATTTATTAGTCATGAATATATAGGCAGAATTATGTTTCAGACAAAAACAAGTTAAGTTTTGTGTGCAGGTAATGACAGTTTTGAGCAGTGTTGTTGGACAATATTGTAGAGCGATGTTGTTTGGTTAGTTTGCAGCTAAAAATGCAAACAATATATAGAAATACAAGTTATTTTGTATAAATGTAAACATGATGTGCGGTGTGGTTACCACCATGAAACTAAAACATGAATACTTCTTAAGTACATATTTCAGGCGGTACTTCTTTATTTTTACTGGAGTACAAAAGTGTAGTCAGTACTTTTACCAGAGTCGTTTTAAATACCAATATCTGTACTTCTACTCGAGTAAAGGATGTCTACTTTTGCCATCTCTGAGCACCAATGAAGGAGTCTGACCGTTAATAGATCTCCTTTTTTGACAAAAACAACAAATTCATTAAATTATGAATATCATGCATAATTATTTGGCATAATGGCAAGTAAATGATGTTAATCAAATTGATTCAATTGTCTCAGGGGTTTTTTTCACTACAGTCCCTGCTGAAAAATCCAGCTTAAACCAGCCTAGGCTGGTTGGCTGGTTTTAGAGGGGTTTTGGCCACTTCCAGGCTGGTTTCCAGTCATTTCCAGCCTGGTTTAAGCTGGATATAGCTGGTTTTGGCTGGGCTCCCAGCCTGGCTAGGCTGGTCAAGCTGGATTTAGCTGGTCATTTTCCAGCCTGACCAGCTAAAACCAGGCTGGAAATGGCTGGAAACCAGCCTGGAAGTGGCCAAAAGCCCTCTAAAACCAGCCTGGTTGACCAGCTAAAAACAGCCAACCAGCCTAGGCTGGTTTAAGCTGGATTTTTCAGCAGGGGTGACAGAATTTATAACCAAATAATACCATTAACATAAAAAAAAAACATAGTCATTGTTGTCAAATCACGGTAAGCACAAATCTACTCGAGTTAAATCAACGTAACCAGATTTTAGGTAAAGTTGGTTTTATATTCGGATATTCAGACATTCTGCTTAATAATATAATTTTAGAAAAGTATTTCTTGCAAAATTCTAATTTGGGAAATCATATTAGCAGCCAATGACAAAGTACAACCATGTTTACAGTCAACTAGACAGTGTTATACTTGCATGCTAACTCTGAATATTCAAATTAGCGTGGTAAACAATATACAGACAGTTAAATGAACGAATATGCGAATATACAACCAACTTTACCTCACTATTTAACCTTGGTATTTGTAGTACAACGTTAGATGCGAGCTTACAATTGGCAGTCAATAAGACAAACGCTATAAACACTACACGTTTACTAGAGCCATGGTTAAAATAAGTAAAAGATGTGAATCAGTTTATGCTTGAAACAAACCTTTCTCCAGCCGAGTCAAAGCCAGACTGTAAAAGCCGCAACAGATGCAGAAACACGGCGCAGACTTGCGGCATCATATTAAAGCCATAATAAAAGTCCCGTTCACCGTAGGAAGCCAGTCCAAACTCGGCCCTGGAGTGTTTAGCTCCAACTTGCTTCAACGCACCTGGAGGAACTTTCCAGTATATCTAGCTTAATTAGCTGGTTCAGGTGTGTTTGATTAAGGTTGGAGCTAAACTCTCCAGGACACCGGCACTGCAGGTATTAATACACCACTGGTATGAGGTCTAAAATCAGTTATCAACAGCTCTGTCTGTCTGTCTATCTATCTAATCACATGTTTGTAACGTGCAAAAATCCAGATAGCAATGTTTACTTACCCACACATGCGGGAATGCACATGGTAAAAATACTATAGTACAGTTAAAGTCAATACTATTAATCTGTTGTGGTAATTTTATAGTTGCTTTGGTAGCCTACAGCAATATAAACAAAGTGACCTAGTAGGCCAACTAGTTTTCTTCAGCTTTATACTACAGTACACCAGTTTACTGTAGTAAATTTAAGTGTACCTCAGTATTTATTACAGTTTATCAGTGATCACTATAGTTAGGGCTACAATATGCTGGAGCAAGAATGTTGGTAAGAACAGCCATTCGTATCCATGGCAGGAACAAACAGTCTTCAGGATTTCTGCCTTTGTGCACAAAAGAAACAAACCGGTGTGGAACAAGTGAAGAATAAGTAAACATTTAGGTAAATTTCTAACTATTTATAACTATATATAAACATTAAAGAGATTGTGGGGACTGTGGCTCAGTGGTTAATACTGTCGTCTCACAGCAAGAAGGTCGCTGGTTCGAGTCCCAGCTGTGCTAGTTGCCATTTCTGTGTGGAGTTAGCGTGTTTGGATGCATCTGCTTTGTAAAACATGTGCCAAACTAGTTGGCGGTTCATTCCGCATTGGCGACTGCTGATAAATGAGAGCCTTAACCTAAGGAAAATAAATGAAGAGACTGTGACATGAGCCCAAAAAGTACAGTGCCGACTGAAAACCAATTCATTTTATCTGTATATCCACACTTAATATCTATATCCAATCCTATTTTATATTTACATCCACTTGTTCATTAAAAGTCAAACATATAATTTGGTGTAGAGTTCAATACTAAGTTTGTCTCCTTTTATTCAGAGTTCACACCTGAAGTGCTTCATATCTTTTTCTTTCCTAAAACAATAATCTGAATCACGTATATGAACGACACACATTTCCAAACGAATAGATTCATACACACATATTTTCTGGTGCCATTTCAAATGGCCAAGCCAGTTACACTGTAACAGAACCCACCAACCATGACTAAAAACAGGGTGATTTTTCAGTATCTGTAATAGCACTTGTTAAAACTAATGGAATAGCTCATCCAATAATTAACATTTACTCATTTATTTACACTCAAGTGGTTCCGAATATTCAATTCAGCTTTATTTGTATAGCGCTTTTACAATGTAGATTGTGTCAAAGCAGCTTCACATAAATGGTCATAGTAACTAGAACAGTGTGGTTCAGGTTTTAGTGTTTAAGTTCAGTTCAGTTCTGTTTAGCTCAGTTCAGTGTGATTTAATCATTACTGAGAGTTCAAACACTGAAGAGCCAATTCACAACAGGAAGCTGCTTTTGTTTGATGAATAGCACTCTCTATGGTACAGAAAGTGTAAATAGGACTTCCTTTGGGTTAAATCAGTGTTTCTCAACCACGTTCCTGGAGGACCACCAGCACTGCATGTTTTGGAGGTCTCTTTAGTCGGTCACACCCATTACAGGTCTTTCAGTCTCTGCTAATGAGCTGATGATCTGAATCAGGTGTGTGTGGGTAAGGAGACACGGGAAATGTGCCGAGCTGGTGGTCCTCCAGGAACGTAGTTGAGAAACACTGGGTTAAATGAAGTCTGTTTTCACATTAATGTGGTGTCAACCACTGTAGTGCGCAGGAATGACCTGCTATAGACGCTCAAGGCAGCATCCACAGCGGAGTCCTTTTAGTGTTTATGTTTCTCAATACATTTTTATTTTTAATGAACATTTGCATACATGACATAAACATATCAACCAGCAAAACAACATCTGTTCAGTTTCAATTGACTTGTTTTCATTTTTTAACACACTCCTTTAAGTGGACTATATTAATGCACTAATGTAGAGAATGGTGTATTACTGTATATATATATATATATATACAGTTTGAAGTCAGAATTATTAGCCCCCTTTGAATTTTTTTTTTCTTTTTTAAATATTTCCCAAGTGATGTTTAACAGAGCAAGGAAATGTTCACAGTATGTCTGATAATATTTTTACTTCTGGAGAAAGTCTTATTTGTTTTATTTCGGCTAATCAATAAATTTTTAAAAACCATTTTAAGGTCAATATTATTAGCCTCTTTAAGCTAATTTTTCCCCCTAATAGTCTACAGAACAAACCATCGTTATACAATAACTTGCCTAATTACCCTAACCTGCCTAGTTAACCTAATTAACCTAGTTAAGCCTTTAAGCTGTATAAAAGTGTCTTGAAGAATATCTAGTCAAATATTATTTACTGTCATCATGGCAAAGATAAAAAAAATGGGTTATTAGAGATGAGTTATTAAAACTATTATGATTAGAAATGTGCTGAAAAAATATCTCTCCGTTAAACAGAAATCGGGGAAAGAAATAAACGGGGCTAATGATTCTGACTTCAACTGTGTGTGTGTGTGTGTATATATATATATATATAAATATATATATATGTATATACGTGTATATATATATATATATATATACGTATATATATATATATATATATATATGTGTGTGTGTGTATATAAATGTATATATATATATATATATATATATAGGGGGGCAATTTCAGTAAGGATGGCTGACATGAAACTGTTAAGATCCTGAAGTGCAATCAATAAAGCATGATCCGAAACACCCAGGTCACGTGACTAAGGTGATTTAAAACACAGGTCACATGACTAAAGTGATTTAAAGCATCGGTCATTTCAGATGTGTTTCTAAAACTGGTGAATCTGCATTTGATTGATAGGGGCATAATTAGTCTTCAGGGCCGGATTAACGTAAAGGCTAGGTAGGGCTGAAGCCCCAAGGCCCATGGAAGAAAGGGGCTATTGATTGGATAAAGAATTAATTTGCGATATGACGCGGGAAACGCCTCTTTGCGTTATGCTTTCTCTTATCGGTAATGTGAAGTATTCCTTTCGGGTCGCTACTGTTCAAAAAGAGTGACGCCGGTGCTAAACTGGGGCTCAAAGTGACTATAGTCCAATCAGAATATTGAATAGCCCTGTTTTAGTCACTCGTAAGGGTGATCAGATGTCCCAATTTTCCCAGGACAGTCCCTTATTTTGGCACTACCGCGAGAACCGACCAGTCAGGTAGGCTAACCGTGCTCGTCGTAGAGCAAAAAACAAAATTCAAACCGTCTTCATCATTGATACACTTGTACATGTAGTAACAGACGCTGGGAATTGTGCTGAATGGAATTGCGCGCACCCGCACAATCCTTTTATCACACAATATAACCAAGATTATGTGCGAATGAATCAAATAGCCTACACGAGCAGTTATCAAAATATCCATCGTTGCAAAGTATCGATCTCAAGTATACACTCGGTTATGATTTATGCTGTGTTCACACCAGACACGGAACGTGCGGATAAATCGCGCTATTCGCGCGTCAAATTTACTTCAGAACAGACGCGGATTCACGTGATGGGCAGGGCTTTTGTCTTCCTGGTGACTGTAGCTTCGTTAAAGGCTAACATGGATTTTATGAAGAAAATAACAGTGTTTATGTACTTTATGAAGGCTGAAAAACAGCGTTTCAGAGGTGCATCCAGCTCTGTGAGCTCATAAACTCCTCCAGAAACTGAACCTGGATCACAGAGGCTTTCAACGGTGCTTCTGACTGAGCCAAGCCCAGTTTGATGTCTTGTTGTCTGTGTCGCCTGGAGGATTTCCCCCCGGACACCATCAACTGGTTCTACATCACAATCACGCCCCCACAAGAGCAAGCTTCTGATTGGTTAATGCGGCACGAATGTCCACTGAAGTTCAGATTTTCGAATTCGAGAGATTCGCATGAAACGCTCATTGAACGCGTCAGACGCGCAAAACGCTTAATTCGCCTCACGCTATTCGCACCACGCCATTCGCGTCATTCTCTCCGCCCCATTCGCGCGTATCGCGCCGCAGGATGTCTATTCCCGCGTTTGCATTGACTTAACATGTAAATCACTTGCGCTTGATGCGCGTTCCGCGTCTGGAGTGAACGCAGCATTACAGCAAGTCTTACTGAACCAGTTAAAAGGCAAACTTTCTATGAATGTTTACTTTGCCCCTTTTATGAAAACGACAGTAATAATATGGAGCAATGAAATATTGGACCTGACTTTCATCAGACAATATATCTGATGCAATAAATACATAAATAAATAAATAAATTAAATTAAAGAAACACTGTAACTCAGAAGACCACAATAAGCTATTAGATATTAGAAGCATGGATATTAAAGATATCATATCATTATAGGGTTTTATGGTCAGCTAAAGTTGTAAATTAGATAATATTAATTAGAATAATATTATTAATAATAACAACAATTTATATATGTATACTTTTGTGGGGTTAAAAAAATTTGAAGGGGGGCCTTGGATTTTCTATAGCCCCAGGGCCCAATGTGCTCTTAATCCGGCCCTGTTAGTCTTATATAGCCTAGTGGACCACGCGTGTGCACAGAGTAAAGGCTGATTTATACTTCTGCGTCAAACGCCGGCGTATGCTACGGCGCTGGCGCATAGCCCTTCGCCGTGGCCGTCACTGATGTGCACCTCTCAAAAAATGTAACTACACGTCGCAGCAACGCGTAGCGCAAGCTCTGTGATTGGTCGGCTTGGTAGCGCTGACGAGTCTGGGCGGGACCGAGAGCCGCGTGAATGGCGCGAACCCAATGTAGCGACTGTTTACAAGTGTGGAGTCCCGTGAAGAAGCTCCGGATGGAAAGTTTTGTTTTGTGTTTACCTCATAGTTAAAGTTGTTGCACGTCCGCCGGTTCCTGCCTCAAAATGAGCGAGTTTGAGCCACTTGTACATCCCGGAAATGTTCAGGAAAAGCAAAACAGCAGCGAAGAAACTCGACACAGAGGAACATTTACACCTCACTGCCAACTAGCGTTTCGGAAATGTTAATGCAGACCAACAGAGACAGCGCGCAGAAGTATAAATGCACAGCCATGCGCGTTGCATGCACCATGGGTTACGCCTGTCACTTGACGCAGAAGTATAAACCAGGCTTAACTGTGCTACAAATGGCTTTTGGGTTTGAATCCCGACTTGTAAAAACACTCCGAAATTATGATTTTATGTATTTTAATAATGTTACTCTTATGGTGAAGTCTAGATGAGATACAGCTGCGAACACGGCATCAATATAGCATAATTTGACACAATTTTCATTAACTTCCAGCCACGACTGTATCTGATCTAGCAACAACCCTGTTTTATGACCAAAACAAGACCTATTTATTCGCAAAGTGTTCGTTCAGATGTCAGACCAATGTTAAAACAAAACACGTTAGAAGAACTGAGCATTTAAAACCCAACATCTATAGCTGCATCACACTGGGTTCGAACCCATTATCTCTGCATGCTAGTCTGGAACTCTCAATAGTCCACTAAATCAGTTGAAACCCCATCTCTACAACATGGGGTTTAATACCTCATTTTGCGTAACTGTTACTATAGAGTGGGGTTTCGAAGCTTCGACGCATTTGATTCAACTGTTTCATGAAGCCTCGCTTTGCCCACCACTACCTAAATGATCACAGAATGAGAGAAAACCCTCAGTAATGTCAGCCAGGAAATACTTGACTTCGCAATGAGCGTCAGCTCGAGTGTGGCTTTAATAGTCCAGATAATGGGGAACAGGCGAGTGTGTAATCAGTGCAGGAGATTGTGGGTAATGTAGTTCTACTCTGGTAGCAAAGGCACAAGTGTGAATATTTGGAGAGGAGTAATAAATAAAAGAGTTTAAAGTGAATTTAATGCTTTACCATCAGAGTGAAGCAAAACATATCGTCTTATTTTCAGAAATAATTGCCTAAAATGAAGCGAGTTTTGCTATAAAAAACGCAAAATAATCTGCCAATGGAGTAAGAAAAGGAAAAGGAAATACAAGATTATTTATCTTTCTTATTTTTGGACTTTTCTCCGGTGTGAATTTTCATGTGGATCGTCAGGCCTCCTTTTTGACTGAAACTCGCTCCACACTCTTGGCAGGTGAACTTGTTGGCTTCAGTGTGAACTCTCATGTGGACATTGAGGTTCGGTTGTGTTCTGAAGCTGGCTCCGCACTCTTGGCAGCTGAAAGGCTTTTCTCCGGTGTGAATGCTCATGTGGACTCGAACGCTCCCTAGTTGACTGAAACTCTTCCCGCACTCCTGGCAGGTAAACCGCTTCTCTCCTGTGTGAGTTCTCATGTGGACTTTAAGGTTCTGCGAATGAGAAAACCCCTTTCCGCACTCGTGACAGGGAAACGGTTTTTCTCTGGTGTGAACTCTTATGTGGGCCTTAAGGTTATGGATTTGAGAAAAACTTTTCCCACATTGTTGGCACGTGAACGGTTTCTCTCCAGTGTGAACTCTGGTGTGGCTTTGGAGGTGCGCTTTCAGATTGAAACTCATCCCGCACTGTTGGCAGCTGAAAGGTTTTTCTCCGGTGTGAACTCTCACGTGCTGCTCAAACAATCCCCATTCGTTGCATCTCTTTCCGCACAGCTGGCATGTAAAGCAGCCATCTTTAAAGTGAATTTGTACGTGCTTTTTAAAGGTGCTTTTGAGTTTAAAACTCTTTTCACACTGACAACACTTGAAAGCTTCAGTGCCAGTAGATTTCTTCGTTTCAGAAGTTTTCCCACACCGACTGGGGTTACGCCTCTCTCCACAGTGAAGACTCACGTGAGTATTAAAGGTCTCTTTGTGTGGGAAACTCTTTCCACATTGATCGCACACAAACGGCTTCAGGTCTAAAGTAAAAAAAGACAAAAGGAGTTAGAAGTTCATACAAAAACAACAAACATCCCAAACGCTTCAAGAAATCGAAACTAACAAAGCTGTGAGGAGAGTTTTGCTTCTTGAAGGTTTTTCTGTAAGGGCCACAATATATTTTTTTTCTAGAAATAGGGACTGGGTCAGTTATATTGGCCAGAGTGACGACCAGTAACATTGTAGAGATTTGTTTATTCTAATTGTCCCTTAGCTAAGCCCCGCCCTCTTTAGGTACTCTTGTAACGCCATTGACCCATAACAATGTACAGTACCTATTACTGTCAGTATGTTTGTGAGCTCTTTACACAGTTTCTTTTCTAATTTGCAGTTCAGTGGAAGAAATAAATAAATTGAAATGCAAATCAAAGTATAAATAGCAGAAGTGAACAAATAGATTTTTCCCTAAAACCAAATATTAATCCGACACCCAATATAAAAGCAGACATTAACCCGGTATAGCTTCATCACCAATGACTAAATCTCCAAAAGACCGATGAAAACATTGGTGAATTGTGGCTCTGACATGGACATGAGGCTTATATATTACTGAAAAACCGCTGCAGGTGAAGTATATTGATCGCAGGTGCTCAGTTTATGCGCATTAAAAAGTCATGTCAAGAGATCATGTGATGATAAAAGTGCGTGTAAATGGATCTGAAATGTCGTTTTCGTCATCGTAAAATGCCTTAACCATTTTAGTATTAGTGTTATTATATTATTAATGACATCCAGAGCTGTCAAGAGCGTCTTTGTTCCGCATCTCACACCTTTAAACGCCACTGCGTGCCTGGATCGTCTTCTGAGGCGCAAGTCATTTATTAAATAAAAAAAAGATTCACGCAGCTTCTCCTACCTCGGTATATTCCGTTTTTACTGTTGATGTTTGGCACCAGATTATCAGGAAATGTCGATTTTGTTCGCTTTGACTTATTGAATGGAAGGCTGCTTTATTTGCATATCTTTTATGTGATGATCCAGTTTTGCGCATAAAGTTAATCATCATTTTTGGATGGAAACATAGCTGGTGTTTCTCTTTTCCTACTGTTTGGCCATTTTTGATAGACTCGTGAATGTACTTTATGATGAAAGTACCATCAGGGTACCTACCACCAGGGGCGTTGCTATACCCCAGTAAAAAATTGACAGTGCCTTAGTAAATGCTTTGAGATACTATTTACTTTATATGCAAGTGTATTTATTGAGAGTAGGGTTGTAACAATATACCAGTATGACGGTCTACCACGATTTAAACGTGCACGATTATCATACCATGAACAATTGCATATCAACGGTTTTAACATAAGATGTAAAAAATCACTTGCGCAACTTTTTTTTCCGCTTGGCGGGTCACGCTCTGAACTTGCGCACCTACACTCCCGTGCACAAGCAGCAGAGATAATGGCAGAGCCGGAGGCTTTTTCGTCTGACCTCCATCCCCCACCGAAAAAAAAAATTAAAATCTGTAGTATGGGAGTACTTCGGATACAAAAAAACTGAACGAGGGATTGTTTTAGAGGACGGCTATCCGATTTGTAAAAAATGTGGGCGCAGAGTAGCCGCAGAAGGAGGCAACACATCAAACATGTTCGCTCACATTCGCGAACACCATCCCTCCGTGCAGATAAAGGTAAGATAAGTGTATATTTTCCATGACGCAGTGCGTGTACAGTATAACGCCTGTTTCACACCGCAAGCGTCAGCGGCGCGTGAGCAGAGCGTATGTCGAGCAGTAGCAGCACGCAGGCGTTTGCCTTTCACACCAGCTGCGTCTGCAGTGCGCAGCTCTTCGACAGCTGCTGCAAAGATCAACCTATCTCTGTCTATTCTATCTAGTTCCCCATGTCTCTCTATATACAAATACACTTTTTAAACTTTTCATCTGCACCAAGGCCCCTCCTATGCTGTTTCTTTAACCTGCAAATGTTTATTTTACAAATTTTATAGATCAAATAGTGCTGTATGCTTCTCAAGCTAACTTATATGAGAAGTGTCTACAGTCAGAAGACAATCGCCTGTGATATCGTGTCATTTGTTTTTTGATTATCAAGTCGCTGTAGACCTAGTCATAATCATATTTATACAATAAAGTTATAATGATATTTATACATGATCAAACTAGTGTTACTTTCTCCGCTTCAGTGATGTCCAGCGGCAGAATAACAGCTTGTTAATTCATGCTCGTGCAGATGATGAGACGGACAAAAGTAACCGATGCATGCCATTCTTTTACTTACTTTCGTGTTGTCAGATTCACAGTGCAAACAGCTCCCGGTAGGAATAACTCGAGTGAACAGAAAACAAAGCCGATTAAAACTTTCTTGCTCTGCTCAGCTGCACAGAACACAGCGAGCTCACATAATCCAGCATGCGTGTCGAACTACACTACCCACAATACACTTCGCTATGGACTACAAATCCCGTAAATATTCTATTGCCCCTCTCCTACAACACTAGTGTGCAACTTAAGCAAAACTGATGCTAAAATTGTTTAACATTTGGTTTTGTAGTTCGGGCCTAAATAAATGTTTGCCTAAAAGTGTCTTTGTATCCCTGCCACAAGTGTGCCTTCAGAGAGGATGTTCAGTACAAGTGGACACATTCTCTCACCTCAGCGGTCAAGTTTAAGTCCTGAAAATCTCAACATGCTTACATTTCTTCATCACAACCTAGACTGAAAAAAACAACGCTTTAAATACATGTTTACAGCCACAAACTTGGTATTGCACTTTTGGTCTCCCATTTATCGTGCTTATAAGGAAGGACAGTTTAAGTTTATTTTTGTCTAATCTTAAAAGACCTTGCTTGTTTATTCCTTCTAATTTAATTTAGTAAAATGGGAGATTTTTCAGTTTATTTTTATAAAAGACTTCTATAGTTCTATTAAAATGGTTCTTTCAAAAGTTTGTTGAAATAAAACCTTTGTTCAGTCAGAAAACGTGTTCTTATTCTTTTCAGGGTCTTTGCTATGAGAATTACTATTTAATACCGTATACCGCGAAACCGTCAAACCGTGGTATTGTTTTAGACGATTATCATACCGTAAAAAATTCATACCGTTAATTGAGAGTGGTAATCCCTGAATAAAGACATTATTCTCTATGTGCAACCGAACCAACGCTGGTGAAAGCAATGTAGTTAAATCAAAAAGCAAACTGAGCATAAGCACAGAAAAAACCAACCCGCACACAAAGTTTAAATAGTATGACATTACTTATACTATGCATGGCTCCTGATTGATTTTTTTGTATGAAGCAAAAAGAAAGGATAAGTCAGAGAGGTAAGACTTAAAAAAAAATAAACTTTTTGCCGTGAGGCGGGTCTAACACAACACACAACAGATCTACAGATTCTACAATCTTATAATATATAATCTTAAAAACTATATGCTATAAAAAATCTTCAGCTGGGGTGCCGGAAAAAAAAAACGTAAATAAAGGCCAATAAATTACTGACATTTACCATAAAATAACAGATAGTAAATTACAGAAATTTACTTAAATTTCCGGAAAATTTATGTAATTTACTATCTGTTATTTTACGGTAAATAATAACAGCCATTATTTTACGTTTTTTTTCCGGCACCCCAGCTGCTGATAACTAATACAATTAATTTGTTGTTTATTGAGAACAATAATTGTATAACAACAATATTACTGTTATTTACTTATAATTATATATAATCTTTGTTTCATTTTTTTTCCCAATATGTTTATTGATTTTTTTCCTTTTCACCCCATCAACTAGGCATACAGACAACAATGCAGCCTACACAGCACATACCTACACCCTTTTTATATATATGTATATACACCCATACATACAAAAAAAAATTATATATATATATATATATATATATATATATATATATATATATACACATACAATAATAAATATATACATACACATACATACACACATATACGCACATACATACATATACAATATTTGAATTATATATATGTGTGACGTGAACAATAACACAATAATACAAAAGAAGAAGAAAAAAAAGGGAAGAGAAAAAAAAAGGTATTAATAAATAAAAAACATGTTTACAAACACACAATTTACATAATATTCATATATGGTTCCCAAAGATAGTCAAAGTTCTTCTGCTTGCCTTTGATGATATAAGTTAGTCTCTCCAGTCCAATACAGTTCAATATTTCTTTTTTCCACATTTCTATGGATGGAGCATCCATGTGTTTCCAGTATAATGCAATAGCCCTTCTAGCTTGAAGGAAACCAAAATCCAAAATTCTTGTATTTCCAATTGTAAGTTCCTTAGGATACAACCCAAGAATACAGAGCTTGGCATTTAAAGGAATTTTAATATTAAACATGTCTGACATACATACAGTTATATCTTTCCAAAACTTTTGTATTTTAGGACATTGCCAGAGGCAGTGATATAGTGTACCTTTATCATCTAAACATTTAGAGCACACATCTGGAATATTAGCAGACATATGATGAAGTTTCACAGGGGTTATATACATTCTCATTAACCATTTATATTGAAGTAGTTTAAACCTGGTATTTATTGTTTGCGTTTGAGCTTTTAAGCAAACATAATTCCAGTCTGCCTCGTCTATCTCCTCTTGCATATCTGCTTTCCAGGCATTTAATTTATCCAATGTTGATTCATTACTATGTTTGACCATAAAATTATCTTTGTTTCATTAAAAAAAAAAAAAAAAAAAATATATATATATATATATATATATATATATATATATAT